AAGATAAGTAAATACAAATGTTATGATACCAACTATGATTAACCGCTAATTTTCTTCTGAATATTGCTGCAGGAAATCCAAAGTAAGCAAAGAGTGATTTTTACTGATCAGACAGAACTTCATCTAAACAACATATTGTATCAAGTGCCAGGGGAAATATAACAAATAGCCCCCAGCACACACCATAGGACCAGGATATTACATCTAAGGAAGCAGTGCTGACTAAGGGAAGCTGAGCGGAGGACCCACTCTCATGCACAATTGATCCAGATGGGGAGAAGGAGAGCACAGGGACCATGGTAGCCAGTTACAACTCAGAATAAAGATTTTTTTATTCTATTACAACCATTATTTACGCTATGTACATTTGTTTTTGATTTGGGGCTGGCACAAAGAGCAGAAAGATGTATTCTTATTGTTGAAGAGCGTAAAAAGTTAACTTGTCTGCTTGTGAGATTGGCTTAAAAATCTTTTTCTAATAATATATCTTTAAAAAAGTCTTTGGATTTTTTTTTTATGCATGAGATCCTTTATGAGACCCTTATTGAGGCCAAGGGCGGGGGGCAGATAGGTACTTACATGTCAGGTGTATAAGTCAATTCAACAATCAACAAATTGCTATTTGCTTGAACCCTTTTGAGATTTGTTTATTGTCCCTTTCATTATGGTGATTAGTATTTTAAAAGTGAACAACATTCTTGTAATGCATTTGCAAAAGTTGTACATTTGAACTCTAATTATATGATTAGACAATGCATTGGTCTGCTGACGGAGAAACATACTTGATGTCCAGTTACCATCTGCTTATAAAATGAAAAAATCTAAATGTTCAAACTGAGCAACAATGAACGCTACTCAAGGCTTATTGTCATGGTGTGGATTTTATATCTGTATTTTGTTATATTTTTGTTTTATCATCATGTTTTTTCATTTCAGTTTTGCTTCCTGTCTTGTTCTCTGTTGATTGTCTGCCCCGCCCTAATGTGTTTCACCTGTGTCTGTATGTGTCTATATGTACCCTGTGCTCCTCTCCCCTTGTTGCTGGTTCATTGTGTTGTCATGTCAAGTTCTGTCCTGTTCCCCTTGGATTCTTGCGTTTTGAGATTATCACCTTGGACTTTATTTTATTAAATAATTATTTTTTGCATTCCTGCGTTTGGGTCCTTCCTGCATTTCCACCTTGTGACACTTATTAAACATTTATTCAGAGCAACTGGAGGTGAATGGCAATCAGAGAAAACGGGGCTCAGCAGAGAGAGAGAGAGCAAAGAGACCACACCACCTAACATGTCAGTTCAAATGTGGATGTAAATTTAACGCAAGTTATTAAATCGAAGCAAAACCGTTTTTATTTCCCCTTCTTAGAGACATTACAATTGTGATGTATCTGAGTTGTTGGTGCTACACGTAGAAAAGTCAAGAGTTGACTTTTGGCTATGCTGGGTGCTTACAGTACATGTAGTTTGCGTCCCATTTTAAATATGAATTCCCTTTTCAATATTCCCTAAATCTGCCGCCATTTGTCTGGGAGCTTGATGTCAACTACAGACTGTGCTATTGAAACATACTCATGAAAGCCTGAAGTTTTAGTGTTGTTGTTGTCCACTACGCACACACATCTCTGTCTGCCTTTACAGTCTTCTGAGGCAATCACTCCTAAGGTTACAGCAGCTCCAAAGATATGCCCTGTCCAACGTGATTCATGTGCTGGCCACTCTGAGTCATGGCTACTCCCCATCCAATTACCATCCCATAATATATCAGGGGAATTATGGCCGAGGCCCTCTCCATGTCAAAAGTCACTTGCAGACACCTGTGGGTAATGGGCATTCGAGCTTTTGGCTTGGGATCAGACTAAAGACGCTGAAAAGTTTAAGACGAGAGTGACCAGATCATCAGATAACTGGGTCAAAAGCAGAGAGCGGGCTTGTCCAACATCAATTAGCTCTTTTTCCTGTTAGATTTTACCTCTAGTCTTTTTAATCAATCTCATCAGCAAAAGGAAGAAAGGGCGTAAATCAGTTGGGACTATCAGACATCATCCCTCTACTAATGGGTTGGATCAATTAATATTCAGACCTTTTGTGAGTGTGTAGGATGGCTAAGCTCGGGTGAGTGCCTGGTGGATTAGGTATGGATAGAAAAAAATCAATCTCAAATTACCCGTTTTAAATATTATACACAGAGAAATAATTGGTGTCCGTTTTAAAGAAGGCTGAGCTTTGAAGTGACAGGAAGCAACTTTGTGGAAGGGGCATAGGTTATAGATAGGTGTACTATCTATAGAACAAGAAAGTTAAACGCATTCACACAATTATGGAGATGGATAGGTTTTATTCCATATTGTGATAAATCATGACAACAAGCAGGATAACTAAGGCTAAATTGGAGTCAGGTTTGCAGAGAAGCAAGCACACCCTAAGCATCTGTGTTTTGGTTGACTGAAAATACACTATGTTGATTGATTTAGTCTAAAAAAAAGCTCTGCATATGATATAAACTGTAAACACAAAATAAAACATCAGAATCCCAGCTTTATTTTTACGCTCTCCTCATTTCTATTTTATCTTTTCCAAAACTGGACAATGGCAGAAGAAGTAAGACATTCTTCAGGATACATGTGGAAAAAGGTAGGTTGTTGAATGTGTTTGAATGTGATGTCACAATGTATACAATACATTTGGCTTCAATAAGATCACTCAAATGAAAATGAAAATGTGCTTGCAGTTTATATTTAAAAAGATGTATAAGATGTTAAAGATAAAATGTATAAGGTGTCTCATGTACAGTCGAGGTATCTTATGTAATAAAAAAGTTACATTTAAAGTGAAAATAGTCCTAGTGCAAGTTGTCAATAAGTGACTTGTTGTACAGTCTAACAGTAGTGGGGCTGAAGGCCCTACGGCAGCGCTCCATACTCTGAGGGTGCTGAAAAAGATGTGCCAAGTCTGGGATCGTGTCTTAAATTCCGACAGAAGACATGTTTTATTGTCGATGGTAGAGACAGCACGAACAAAGCACACAACAGAATGCAAGTGTATTATACAGAGCGGAGGCATGGAGACCTCCAATCAGCAGCTTCCACGGTGCCATGTAGCTTGGCCTTCAGATGGACAAAACAAGGGAAAAGTACTGGCTTCTGCACATTGATAGAATGATGAGTTTGAACTTTAACAATAGTTGCTTAAAAGTGTTATGAAATCTCACAGTGCCCCTATGTTCCGCTGGAAGAGCCGCTCAGCTCCTCAAGAGAGAACAAGTGTTTGTTCTTGTGGTGATGTGATGAAGATTAGTTTGTAAAACTAGTTGTAACAGAGCATCCGATAATGATTGACACAAGATTCAGAGGAAAGAGCAGAAGAACAACCAATTGCCAAAAAACCAAAAAAGCCAGTTTGAATAGAAAAACACAGACAAATTATTAGGCCAGGTTAAAGAAGCTCTAAATCCATCCAAAAGAATCCATCATAACTTTGCCTTTCTGTTATCCTACTGTATATAAATCCTTTGGTCAACCTAGACTTCCAGACATCACTGATGATCTAAGTAAATAAAACGATCAATTCAACCATGTTCAACCAAACAAATCCAACCAACAAAGTCCGTTTAGCTACAAGCATTGAATCATAGCTTTCTTGGGCAATACATTTAATCACCTTTGCCTTTGTACAAACATGTATGCAAGCTAAAAAAAAACTACAGAAATAGCTTGTGTGATTGCAGAAGAGTGAAATAATGATGCAATGCAGAGCAGGCATTAGAGAAAGTTACACAAATGTATTCTAATTGTGATCATATTTCTGGTTTGCAATACACACCTTTCCCTCCTGGTATTAGTACGCCTCATCATTGTTTATTTTCCAGATATTCCCGCTGCCCCGAACTGACCTAATGCAATCCGGTGTAATGGACGTTGCAGAAGTAGGAGCATTTGTTCTGGCTGTCAGCAGCACATCCAGGTTCACTTCAGAAGACGCAGAGTTTCTGGTGCGTGCGCGCAGGCAAATGTAAACTTCTTCACAGCCCAATGAACAGCAGCATCCTCGGAGCATAACTGAAAAATAGCAGTGAAGATGAATAAACGATGTGGGCACAACAAATATTGCTTCCCCGGATAACGCTGCAATGGGAACATATTGCACGTGCCGGAAAAATGGTTTGTGATCGGATGATGGGAAAACACTGAGTCAGTGAGATAAAGACCAACCAAATGTTCAACAGAACAACATTACTTCCCAAAAACTATGTACTGATAGTAGATGACGAGTGCTACACAAACTCACAGAAAAATGATAATGGGGATGCAAACACCGTTGAAGAGGTGGACAGACACGAGATGAAAACATAGTTGAATTAGTTTCAAGTTGTTCTTGATAGTTTACACACCCAGCCATAGACGTCTTTGTTTTTTGTCTTTACCCATCGTAAGTAAAAGTAGCTATCTATTGTAAAATTACAACATCGCTAAGCCCCTCTGGACATCTTATGTGGTCGGAGTTCATGCAAGGGGGCCCAGGAATTTGAAGGAACTGGAGGTTTTTTTGCCAAGAAGAATGGGGTATGTAAATGTATAAGATATTATTTGGTCCAAAGAAAGAGAGAAGAATGATCTGATAAAGGCTATAATCATCAAATAAATCATATTCTGGACTGATGTTTATTTTAATGTGCAAAGCTTTGAATCATAGCCAAAAAATATATATATAGATATTTTCTAGGGTGTTTGGACTTTCAAGCACAACTGTACGTAGTTGAAAAAAGGCAATGTCAAATAGAAACACAAGAAACTATGGGCCCAAGGCTATGGGTGAAGCGAGTCTGATGCCTGTGGTCATTGGGGCTCAGTGGCCACAGCAGACCAAAGGAAAAAGATCGGAAAAGATGAGCAAAATAACCATCATCTTCCACGTCAACAATGAGGAGAGCTTTGGAAATTTTTATTGCAATAGAATATGTACAGTAAACAAAGAGCATACATTACAGCATCTACCTGTGTATGTTTAATGCTTGTGTTTGCTTGCATCATATCTCTGCAATACCATTTTTTGATACAACTCTGTCGAGCAGAAAACAAGTTATTGCGATTGAGGTATGTGCAATAAGGGAATTGGGAAGGTTTAACAAATGTAAACACAATTATTAGAATTCATTTTTCTGATACTTTTTATACTGCTGTCTGAAATCTTAACACTTTACATTTTTAATACAAATTGATTCCTGTGCCAATGTACCATCATTAGTAGTGTCTGTGCCAGTAACTGTGGGCAGTAACAAACAAAAAATATCAGCAAAATTAAATTAACTTTTAAGTCTATCTATTTTCACTTTATTCGCACTAAATCTTGATCTATTTCCAAGTTTTTTAAAAAGTCAAACGAATAAGGTTCTTTCCTGTGTGGGTGTTAAAAGATTATAGTGTAAAATAAAAAAGAGAAGCAGTATCTCATGTGTCACAGAGATTGGATTTAAATGATTGTAAAGATAAATTCAGACTTTGAAAATACTGCCGGTAAAGACACCATGGATTTTTTGTCATTTTTTAGCTGTTCTGGGAGTGCAGATCTAGGTGAGATTTCGAAAGCTTATGCTCTCTTTTTTTCCCTAGACGAGATTGACTCATAAGAGGGGTTTAATGTGTCTGTAAACCAATGTTGGTCTGTTAATTATTTTGGGCAAAACTGCCCTGATTGGATAAGGTCCAAATAGATAATATAGCTGTAATTTTACATATTGCTTTGTAATTATGAATAAAAGTAATTATCAAAATAGTAATAGTAATTAGTAATAATAGTAATTAGCTATCAGTATTTTGTACCTCTAATCTTAGATGTCTCAAGCCACAATTCACACAGGACCCTGTGCATGTAGAAACGAGATAAAGAAGAGTAAAAATGTCAATGAGAGTCATATATAATTCACCTATTTATCCATTTCTTGTTTTTGACCCACTCAATCATGCATTTGGGTCAGTTTCCGCAGCATAATTAGAATAACTTTATTAGTGAAAATCCATATGGAGCAGCAAAATAGATTAATGTCTGGCAAATCATTAAACACTTTAGCCTAACCAAGGAATTCTTTGCTTGACTCTTATTGTATGGGGTATACAGTATATTACATATGAAATAAAATACCAGAGGAAATCTTCCTTTAAAAAAAAAAAAATCATCAAAATACACGCTTAGAGTTAGTAACGCTTCACACAAATGTTGCAAGCCTGATTTGTCCCTTGGTTTCACACTAATATTCGACACAGCAGGTCCTCAATGGCGGTGTTAAAACAGAAAATCATAGCTTAAGGCAAGGTGACAGGGATAATAATCTGCCATCCTTTATGTTTAATATTTAAATCCCAGGGGCGAGAGGAGAAAGATGGTGGTGCCCTTGTTTCACATGTCCTCCCCTCTCCACCAGCTCAGAGTCGGGGCCAATAATCAGTCAAACATTAACATGCAATCTGAATCCACAATCACCCACAACAATGGCTAGTTATGACAGCTCAGAAAATGGAAAAAAGCAAAGAGCTACAGCAGTTGCGGAATTTCCAAAATAATGACGGTTTTTGCCGGTGATTAGTCTTATGCTTCATATTGTCCACTTGTTATTGCATGCACATTTGTCTTATTTACCAAAAGCCGTGGATGCTTCGGGCCATGTCGCCCATCTCCGTGGTGTTTGTGATTGTATTTGTTTGCAGAGCGGCCGCAGAGATTTTCTTAACACTGTAAACACAGATTCATTTATCTCTCTTAGCCACAATTATTCATGTTGTACATTTTCTTCCTCTAAACCTGATGGGAATACGTTCTTTGTAGGTCAATTTGGGGAAGTGCAGGATAATATATTGCATTTGTATTAAACGAGTAGCGCTCTATACGGTACAAGGGCTTTGGCCCAATACTCGAAAAGCAGCAGGCGGAAAATAACTGGAAATGTTGATCAAACTGAAATCTTTGCATGATGACATTGTAACATGTACAGCAGAGACAATATTGGCAAGCTTAGTAAATAAACAAACACAATCAAGTGATCAAATAATGACAATTTTAACAATAACTTAGTGAGATTTCTAGAGTTTATACTATAATGGAGATTAATTTGGCCTTTGTTTACTTCAGACGCTTTTTTTCTTTTATCAAATATTCATCAGATATAAAATCAAGCAAACAAAATGTTGGTCCGATAAAAGAAAAGTATCTACTGTACATAGAAGTATTTTGATAGACTAAAGTTGGGGCCAGTGATTGTATAAAGATGGAAAGTATTTCAACTAAAACAAACCTCAAACCCACAGCCTTCAAGCTCAAAGCTGAAGATTGTGGATTCCTCCAGGGCGGAATCAGACTTTAATTTGATTGCATTTTATTTGTGCTCTTATGACAAAATGTACAATAAAGAATATAATCAGATAAAGAACGTATCCTACATTTCAACAAACATTTATGCATTACATTACACTTAAACAAACACTGTGACTTGGCGTATTGGTTAAGTGTTGTGGCTCTTTTTCTAGTTCAACATCATTATAGCAGAGGAATATCACTCACTACACCGAGAGACCCTACTTCGTTAATATGGGCTTGGGTTCATAATTCAGCCGGCCAGATCCTGAGCAACAATCTAATTATATCTATATTCAAGAGGGATGGGGGCATTTCTCAGTGGGTTCCATGCAGCAGACTGTGTGCATAACTCGGGCCTTGATTAACAAGTTGTTGAGTCAGCGTGTACAGCATAAAGAGCTACAAACCCACACAATCCACTGCAGGATAAAAAAGGATCAGATAATAATGAACTGATTTGACATTGAGCAGTGATGTAATATTCACTGCAATGTTTGAGCACTTTGAAGTTGACCATAAATAATGACACAATAAAATATCCTGGTTTATTGTTTCATTTTTTTTGTTGAAACATGTTTTAGTATGCGTGTTTATATTATCTTTCAGTCCAGTACCAAAGGTGAGGTATAAAGTGTGAAAAAGTCCCTTGAAGGAAGGGTAGGCATTTGGCTACATTTGGATTCGACGTTATGTAATGTACATCTTTGGTTTTATGTTGCGAAAACAAGCAAAGTCGTTGGAATTATATGTGTAGACCTATTGACCTAAGTGTTTTTTTTTTTTTTAACTAAATAACATTTTTTTTTGTAATGAGTGCTTTGTTCTTATATTCTTTGTACAGTTGCATTTCCATTTTCACAATTCTCCACTGAAACTACAGCACAGCCAATTGCGCCTTGGAAGATATAGAGTGATGAGAATACTTTGTGGGGCTATATAGATAAATGCCTGCTTTTCTCCAGAATAGATTCTCATAAAAAGCACAGAAGGTCAATATTTCTATATCTAATGAAGATACCTAAAGCTGGAGGAAATATGGTTGCCGCTACAAGCTAAAGGGCAGCTCGTTAATCTAGTCTCGATGGTGGAGCAAACCAGATCCATGAACTTGAATGTCTTCAGCAGGATAAGCGTAGGAGATAGAGTGTGTCAAATCTTAAGGTCAGACAGTATTTTACTGATGCCCTAAAATGAGACAGAATGCACCCTAAAATGATACAAAAATGGCTGCTAAGTGTTGTCTGCAAGGCTGTAGAAAGTGCTAAGGCAAGGGACATCAAGAAAAAAGTAAGGCACTGAAAAGGTGTTTACAGAACCCCCCTGTGATTAAATAGACATGTCCTGTGACCTTTGCACACGCCTCACTTGTAATAGTTGACCTAAAATACAGTAGCTGTGAGCACATAACAATTTTCTCGACCTAAAATAGCATAGAGTCAATCCAATGTCTATTTTCCAGTCATGCCGGAAAGTCATCTGCTTCATATTGTAACTTCTGATTTGAATAGAATTTAAAAAAATTACATTTTCAGACCATTACCTGTTCATTCGATAAAGTGGGTATAGGTTAGGCTATGGGTGCAAGTGAAACTTACTGAAAAGTGAGAGGGGACAGGAGGAATCCTCACCAGCACGTAGCATAGCCAAGGAATGTAAAAGGCAAAATGTGTCCTCCCCATGGCAGCCAAAGACGAAGATGCCTGGAGCTAGGCACTTACCCTTTACTTAGGAGGGCGCACAATATCCTCCGGCTTAACACAGATACTACTGCAGCCCCATGCTGTGATTATACAAAAATAGTGAATTAAAGATATACAGTAGGTCAAAGATATAACAGAGATAACAGAACTGTCAACATGAATAATAGATACTTATACTGCATACCGGTATATTTGTGTGTAAGGGTTGTAAAGTTTTATGTTCAGAGTTAAGAAATCAATTCGGAAGTACTCACGGATATTGGGCGATAACCCTTTTGTTCTTCTTGTATAAGAAATTGTTCCTGTGTGTGAAATTGGTATTAGCAGCACATATTTAGTAAGTATGTAAGTAATGTTTATTTATATAGCACATTTTACAGACCAAGGTCACCCAAAGCGCTTTACAATAGTTCAGAGTTCAGATATTAACAATTACAGAAACATGCTTTGCAATGTCCAATAGAGTAGTTATTACAGGTCAATGTAGAATCAAAATACACAATGTTTCAGTTATTCTTAGCTTCCAAATACAATCTGAAGAGTTCCTCAGTTTACCAGTACTCATAAATAGAGAGGATATTGTCCTCTCTATTTACCATTAGGTTTACCATTTATATAGGTATTCTATAAGGTAGTCTATAAGGTAAAACTAGTCTCTGTAGTTACGTGTTCATTCAGCTTCAGAATTCGTCTCTTATTGCTTAGAACCAAAATAACATTTTTCTAGCAAATGAAATTATGATTAGACCAAAATCCCGCAAGACCCTATCCACCAGGCCCGCTACTTGCCCAGGGGCAGAGACAGAGAGCACGCCTCCTTAAGCCCCCTGTGCGCCCGCGGCTGTCAGCCACGCGTGTCCTCCGCTGTTACAGAGGGTGTCAGCACAACCCTGCCGCATCTCCAAGAACCAGAACCAGAACCAGGTCTGGACTAAATGATATAGCGTATCTCCATTTCATCTGGACGGTGAGCAGCGTCTTCACACAGACATTACTGTAGCATACATTAGCCATCATTGAACGCAGCAGATGGCTCGTAGGTTCGTGCTTACAGTAAGATTACCAGGCCTACGGGAAACGCTTAATCCCAAGCAGTATTGTTTGACTAACCTGCTATCACATGGAGATAGTTTTGGAGACTTTTCATCGACTTGAAATTTGTGGCTGAACCATAGAGTGTATCAGTGTAAATATTAGCTGACTCAAATAGGCGAATTCTACAACCGGAAGTGCACAATGTTTTTTCTTTGTTTTTACAATTTTATATACACTTATTTCAATTAACTTTTACATGAATAATAAAATCATAAATGTTGCAGGTTACCTTTTCCATTTTACTTGACCTTTTTGTGACTTTGCATTAACTGAAAAGCAGACAAAAGGCAATGAATAAATAAAAATGTGAGCCTGGCAGGTTAAAGAAAACCCATGTCATGTTATTATTTTAATCATAGCCTATTATTGATCTGATATCACCACCTTTTAAGAAGATTTAGATTCTAGGATTAATGCCAAAGTTGTTTGCACAAGAAAAATGTTCTAGCAAATGATTCAAGTGTCATTAGATTAGGGCTGTGGGTCCAGGATCAACTTTGTGATATCAGATTGTGCATAATCTTCTAACCAAAGCCCCAGCTGAATGGTCCTGACCAAATTGATTTCTAGAGACAGTCACCTTTCTTCATATGGAATATTTAAAACATGGATAGGATAATAATAATAATAAACAAAAGATAAAACTTGAATCCATAGCCTATAAAAGCCTGATGAACCTGACAGCCGACCTTTTCTAAAATTCTTTCCTTCAATTTGTTTCTATCTTTGATATATTGAATCTATTTTGAGTAAAGCCATGTTTGATGTGGTGAAATGCCCTGGGGTGAACATCTTCTCACATCTTTGAGTACATGTTCAGGTGAAGCATGATGCATGATGCACCTGCCAGTTTACCCCTCGATAAGAGCCTTGTGGTCCTGTTTTTATGACTTCTGCTATGCACTTGTCTGTTCAAAGCAGATAACACGTGCTCCCGAACCCTGCGTTTTTCTGCATCTCTTAAGTGCTCTCATCTTATCAGGGGAAGACGTAGCTGACCATAACTCCATTTATTACTGTGATATTAGGATACCATTATTAAGAGAATTAGATCTTATTAAGAATAGATATGTCACAATAAATATTATATAATTATTTTTCAATACCTGATAGATCACCTAGTGCACCTGACTTTTTATTCCATAAATACATGTATGTGTTCCAGAGAGAAAATAACATTATGTGAAGAAATTAGAATACAACATGCTGTCTTTTTCTTATCCGAATCTGATTTAAAGATTCAAAGAGGCATGAATGTGAAAACTAGTAATGGAGCCAAAAGGTTTTGGGAGTCATAAGATAGATTCATTACATGCTTACTTTTTGTGCTTTTTAATTTTGCAGTTTTTAATATTATTTTCCTTTTGCTATTAACAAAAAGCATCTCCTCCATTACTTTGTTACTTTGTAGTACCTCTAACCATGTAATGCCAAAATTATAAAATATAGAAGTTCTGTTTGAGTCTATGTCATCAGAAGTGTGTGCATGTGTCCGTGTGCGCATGATTTTGTGTGTGTTTGTGTGTGTGTGTGTGTGTGTGTGTGTGTGTGTGTGTACAATAGCATGCAGAAAATACATTTTATCATGCACCCAGAACTTAAAATGTGCACAACCAGTTATTCCCACACAAAAAAAACAGCCAAATATATTATGGAATATATTTTGTCACTGGCACCAATTACTGAGCCTACAGTGGAGATTGATGCGGGTTGGTTTTTCAGGGCGGCTGGTCTTGGCTGCTCATCAGTGTTATTACTGATTAGTGATGAGTCAGAGAGCTGCCCGGGGAGAAGCCCACAGTCCGGTCCAGCAGCAGCACATGTGTCCACAGCTAATCACTGCCTCGCTCCAAACTGCACTCACATCAAGGCCTCGCAAACAACCGTCCTCCCACTGAGAAACAACAGCACATTATTAGAGGTTAGCCACAGAGTGCAAATATGGGTTTGACAGTAAACCAAATATAAAGATTTGTTTTAAATAACTCATAATTGGTCGCTGCTGTTGGCTGAGTGAATTAGCTCTGTTCACTTATACTGTATTACGTGTCACAAAAGCACATGAGCCGATTGACAGTAAAAGTTTTGAGATGGTAAACATAAATCTGTCATTCACTATATTTGTTTATTTTAGGAGGAAAGGAATGCATTTGGTTAACTTGCAGTAGCTGACCATTTTTCTGCATGCGTCACAATAGCGGACACACCTACACTATAGTTTTGCCTGTGAACGAAACTCTAGTCAGACTAAAGAAGCCATATCTACATATCAGTGAATACATAATTCTCATCACAACGATTGATGTAGCATGAAAAAAGTGGATTATACATGCATATTTTTGTAGTTAGTATTTATCTGTGTTTTGATAAACTGTGTGAATGAATGTAAACCAATCACTCTAGAAATGTTTTGCATTTGTTATTCGGGGCGACCCCATTTTCTTTTAGCTAATAAATCAGATTGATTAAACTTTGTTTGTTGAAGGACCGCTATTATGATATAGAACGTTTTTTTCATTTTTTGTTTTGAAAAGAAAATAAGGCTACTTGTGTCCTGAATATTATTATCATTACTTTCCCTCAATACAATAACTACTTTTCTATAATCCACCTTGTGTTGCTAGGGAATTATACAACAATAGGATAGTTAGAGAGCAGCAAGCACCATCAACATCGTGTCTGCACAGCTGCCTGCCTCCGAGAAGTTCTGAATCAATGTAATCATAATGAGAAATTTCCATACACAAGGAGGCTTGAACTATTTCTCAGTACACGCTTCGCCTCAGCTTACACCTGTGCGTCCTCTTTGCTGTATAAGTGTCATTACACTGTAAATAGTGATCTAGCCTCACTCACTAGCCTGCTTCTTTATCACTGTCTACACACTGATGGTTTAATGAGCCAAACTTTCTATGTTGGATGGGAAGTTAGTAATGGTTTCAGATGTGGCCTAGTTTCTGAAGCTTTGTTTGGTCCATGTTTGATGTTAGTTGTTTGTCATACTTTATATTTGTTATAATTGTTGTTAGGGATAACTAAATGTCAGTGATTAATTCAATTTAAGTTGCTTAAAGTGTGAACTCCCCAGCCAGCCAAATTCCAATAAAATCAAAGAGCCACACTATACATGCACGCGATGGGTCGGACCACCAAATTGCCATTTTTTGGATAATTGTATTAATATGATGATGATGATAATAATATATTTTTGCACAGTCTGAACTGTACTTTTACTAATAAACGTGTCTTACCTTATATAATAAATAATGTAATATAATTTTCCCCTTGTTGTACTATCAATTTGATTAGATTTGTTAATTCTTCCTTAAATAGTTTTAGATGTAAACAGACTTGAATTCAAGTTAAGGTTTCCTTAAAAATAGATGAATATACCTAAACTTCTGCTATTCAGAATCTGTAATGATTACATTTGTCCACTAGATGTCAGTGTTACAAGCTCGTCTGAGCTAGCGCAGAGGCTTCAATGTGTTACGGACAAGCCCCGGTGATCCAAGATGGCGGCCTATTCAAATGAATGGCTTGTGCTCAGTGGCGCTTTGTGACGGCATGGGGGCAGAAAGATTAGCAGAAGTTGCCTGAAACTCGCAAAGATCTATGGGAAACTCGCCTGTATTTGGGCATCGTCTGGTCCTCCCGGTTCTGCGCAGTGGATGATCTCCCATAATGCGTTGCGCCAAACACGCGTGTGTGGGTCTCACACCGGGTCTCACGCACGTGCACAGAGGGGCTCGGCTGCGCTCTGACCAATCAGAGCAGTTCATCAGAGCAGTTCATCAAAGCGGGAGTTAGAGCGAGAGCCAGAGGAGCAGAGTTTGTGGCACTAAAGTGTGGATTTAAACAAAACCGAAAGATTTAAGAAGAAAAAAAGTTCAGGATGACAAGGGACACTAAAATCCCCACAAAATCCGATCTTTATTAAAGCTGTAGGTTCTCCGTCAGCTGAGGTCGAGCTGTTTTAATATGCATTGAGTTCTATGGGGAAAATTTCTGGGTAGCCCACGTGAATTTAGTCTGGTTCAGTCTGCAGTACCGCGAGAATCCCTTGAGCACGTGAGTTATTCAGCTACAAGCTAGTAATACCCTATCCAGTTAATATAATACATCCATGGTTACGGAAAAGCCCCGGTGATCCAAGATGGCGGCCTATTCAAATGAATGGCTTGTGCTCATGGATCTATTAATAATTGGATAGGGTATTACTAGCTTGTAGCTGAATAACTCATGTGCTCGGGGGTTTCTCGCGGTACTGCAGACTAGACCTGACTAAATTCACGTGGGCTACCCAGAAGTTTTCCCCATAGAACTCAATGCATATTAAAACAGCTCAACCTCAGCTGACAGAGAACCTACAGCTTTCATAAAGGTCGGATTTTGTGGGGATTTTAGTGTCCCTTGTCATCCTGAACTTTTTTTCTTCTTAAATCCTTCGGTTTTGTTTAAATCCACACTTTAGTGCCACAAACTCTGCTCGTCTGGCTCTCGCTCTAACTCCCGCTCTGATGAACTGCTCTGATTGGTCAGAGCGCGGCCGAGCCCCTCTGTGCACATGCGTGAGACCCGGTGTGAGACCCACACACGCGTGTTTGGCGCAACGCATTATGGGAGATCATCCACTGCGCAGAACCGGGAGGACCAGACCATGCCCAAATACAGGCGAGTTTCCCAAAGATCTTTGCGAGTTTCCCATAGATCTTTGCGAGTTTCCCATAGATCTTTGCGAGTTCCAGGCGACTTCCGCTAATCTTTCAGCCCCCATGCCATCACAAAGCGCCACTGAGCACAACCATTCATTTGAATAGGGCGCCATCTTCAATCGCCGGGGCTTGCTTGTGCTCAGTAGCGCATGCGACTTCACAGAGACCAAAAGATTAACTGAACTCTCCCAGTTCTGTGTAGTGGACGAGCTCCCATGATGCGTTGCGCCAAATACGCGTGTGTGGCTCTCATGCAAGTGTACAGAGGGGTTTGGCCACACTCTGACTCTGAGCAGTGATAGAGCGGAGCCAGAGTGGGAAGGAAACGAGCAGAGCTTGTGGCAGTAAAGTGTGGATTTAAAGAAAACCGAAGGATTTAAGAAGAAGAAAAATTCAAGACGACAAGGGACACTAAAATTCCCACAACATTTTGAAAGCTGTAGGTTCTCTGTCAGCTGAGGTAGAGCTGTTTTAATTTACATTGAGTTCTATGGCAATTTTTTCTGGGTAGCCCACGTGAATTTAGTCTGCGGTCCTGTGCCCAAGAGGTTGGACAGCTAAAAGCTAGTAATACCCTATCCAGTTATTATTATAGATCCATGGTTACGGGGCTTCATATGTTACATATTCTTAGAACTGTGTTTAAAGGCAAACTGTTAGAGCTAGATGAAAGGCACTTATTTTGCATATTCTTAATAAAAATTAAAAAACAACTTTTCTTCAAACTTGATGAGAGGCAAAGAGTTGCTTCCTGCCACCGTAGTAGACAATTAACATATGTATACACCCCGACTCTTGTCTGCAGACAAGCAGGACGGCATTGGTTTCAATAGAAAGGCATGAGGGCGATCAGTGTTTTGTGGCAGTGGGGCAAA